AGCCAAAATTATTGCCCTCTAGGTTCCATCTTGTTTTCACTATTAATTAAAAATATATCTGCAGTCTGTGGTCACCAAAACTCAAGGTTTAATTTTTTTCAGAACTAGACAGGTACACATTTCACTGGCCTTCTTATAGGCAGACCTCAGCAAAGGCTGACTCAGGTTCTCTAATGTAGACACTTTTTTGTCATGTCCAAAAGACCAACACACAGTGAACACTTCCAGGCTGTCATTAACACATCACAGGAGTGAAGACCGTTTGCACGCGTGTCATCCCAGCACCAGGACAGGAGAATATCTCATCTGCATGACTCGGGACAGCTCCTCGCCTGCTCCATCTGCCTTCTTAGAACAGTCATTTTTCACATGAATCCTCACCTTTGGCTGATTTGTTCATTAGTTTATGAGTTTTCAGCGACTTTCCTTCCCCTCCCTAGGCTGCAAACGGAATCTACGGATGGTTGCTATGAAGAAGGGAACTTCCTGAGCTGAGCTCTATTAGTCTCTGCCATGTCTCTCTGAATGGGGACAGCTTTCAAATGAAGGAATGATTTTTAGTATCTGGGAGGATCATGTCAATAGATTTTTTAAAATCTAAAATTAAGGGACCAATGAAAAAGTCTCAGTGAATAAAAGTCATTGCCATACAAACCTGATGTTCAATCCCCAAAACCCATGATGGAAAGAAAACCAGCTCCCATAAGTTGTTTTTTGATCATACACACACACAACACACACACACACACACAGAGACACACACACACAGCATTCATACCTTCCACTCATATATATCATATGTGTGAACATGTACACACAGCTAACCATATTAATAAATTGAATTTTTAAAATTAAAAGTAATGTTGGTTAAAAATGTTTTTGCATGTGAGAATAGCTAAAACCCTCTGAATGATACTTGTATATCTAGATTGTTCTTAGGTTTAGCATAAAATTTAGCATAAAAAATCCAGACAAGGCAAGTTTAAATTTGCTCTAAGGATAGGAAACAATTCTCCAGCAGATGGCTCTCTAAGAGCAGAGAAAGCCAAGGAACCTCAGACATTCTGAACTACCACAAAATCCAGCTACTCAAGACTGGTATACTGGTCCTGATCCTAAGCCAGATGTGAAGATGCCAATGGAGACATCGTATGCTGACTGTTGTTGTCTAGGAGAGCAGATTCATTTGGAGTGTGCAGAGTATAAATATAAAATTAAGGTCAGACCTGGTGTCACTGGAATCTCAGCTCTAAGCAAGTGGAGGCACAAGTATCATGAGTCTGAGTCCAATCTGGGCTACATTGCAGAATTCTGCCTCCAAAAATTAGATAGTTACTTACAACAGATACCCATCTGAATTGATCCCTAACACAGAAATGAGAATGTCCCCATGACAGAAAAAAAACTGGGCTATTTTTAGGTCTGGCACCACGAAGCTCAGATTTTCCTCCTGACAAAACAAAGCGACTGTCTGGACCAGAGGTGGTGCGCTCTCCCTGCAGCAGCTCCACTTCCTCCTGTCCTCCTGGCTTGACCATTGCTATCATGTCGTCTACCTGCTGCCCAGTGTGACTGCGTAGTGAGATGGACTTGTTACAAGGATGAGGACCCAGCAGTACAAGATAAACAATATGGAATTTTAGGACATGAGGTCATCAATCATGAAACTAAGTCATATCACATATTACTCCACAAGTAATATTGCATGCAATATCACATTAACTCCTCACAACCCAGGTGGAAATATCAAAGTCTTTGTTTTACATATGGGAAACTGAAGTCTAAAGATGGCAAAAAACTTTGGTAAAAATTCAGGACAGTTTCATGGTGAAGCCAGGAATTACAGTCAAGTGAATCCACTGGAAACCGGAAACAGGGGAGTTTTCCCAGGACACTCTGTCACTCAGTGTTGGAGCTGTTTGGTCTGAGAGGCTCCACAGAGAGGGGTTTTAGCAGAACTAATTTTGTCTCTTTCTCCACTCTTAATTTTAATTTCATTTCTCTATTTTTGGAATAATGCAGTTTCAGTGGTTATTTCCCTACAATACAATAATATTAGTATTCTGTAGGTGAGGATAGTGTTAAAATGTATAGAAATGAATTGGGCTTTGTCTTGACTAGCTCCAGTGACTGTCATCTTGACACACAGCCTAGAATCATTGGAGGGAAACTGCATAGACAGTATGGTCTGTGGGAGACTATCTTGATTATTAATTGATGTACTAGGTCCCAGACCACTGTGGGGCAGCATCATTTCCTTGGCAATATAAAGAAGCTAATTTAGCACAATCCTGCCTGGGAGCCATTAAGCAGCATTCCATCCTGGTTTCTGTTGCTGTTCCTTAGCTGTGAGTTCCCTGATTAGAGACATGCCTGCTTTCCAGCTCCTGCCTTGAGTTCATGCCCTGATTTCCCACAATAATAAAATGTAACCTGTAGTAAAAAACAAACTCTTCCAAAAACTGCTTTAGGTCAGAAGTGTTTCATCACAACAGGCATGACGGCACTAGAACAGGATTCCACTGGGGATGGGATTATCTCTGATAGTTCCAAGGTGAACTGTTGCTTTTTCATCATTATTCTAGAAAATGATAGGAAATATATTCATATATGTGGGAGATGGGGTCACTATTTGACTTCAATTAGCTTATCATGCTGAAGCCAACGAGACTCTTCATTTTAGTAGGGGATATTTCCACATGATACTATTTTCTGGAATTATCATCACTGTAGAAAGAGGCAGCTTGGCTATACAAGGAAACACTAGTAAACATGGGCAGAACCTACCCAAATTGAACAAATATGATAATTTGAAAAAATCTTATATTGGCATTTAAATAGATCTATCCCATCTTTTCTGATCTTTTCCTGGATGGGAGTAATACATAAATTTAAACATTAATAGATAATATAAACCAAATGTGATTGCTCATGCCTGTAATCTCAACACTTGGAAGGCCCACACAGAAAAACAACCACAAATTTAATGCCTGCCAGGTTATATAGTATGCTTCTGGGTAGTCTCAGCTACTGAGTGAGACCTTGTCTTAAAAAATAAAATGAAGTAAAATAAACAGCGGTATTGTGATATCCACTAGCAACATCGTGATGAACTCAGCCAGGCAGAGTATAAATAAATCTTTTTTCTTTTGAAAAAAGAAAAAGAACTTCCTACACACCAAGCTGTACCATCTTTCCTGTCATAAAGAAAGCACAATTTCAGGGCATCCTCTGTCCTTGTTTGCCTGAGAGCTTCCCTGTACTCTGAATTAGCATGCCTGTAGCTCTAAACATTTGCACCTCCAACTCCTCGCCCATCAGGGTGTTCACTGAAGCAGTCACGTGACTGTGGGCACTGTCTCAATTCTGAATGCTGTTTTTGGATGTGCAGCTATGCCTCCATCACAGTTTTCATGGCTAAGGTTGAAGGCAGAGATATTGGGCGCTTAAAAAAAAAACTCTCACGCTGGCTCAGAACCGAGAGATAGATATTTATTTAGGGGGAAAATTTACAAATCAGGATTATAATAAGAACAAATATCCTATTCTAACTCGCTTGAGTCTTGTATAATAAATAACTTGGCCAAGTCATGAGGGAAAAGTAACTACACTAATCTAGTCTTCAACCCCATCGAAGATCCAAGAAGGGAAATAATGTTACTTGAGCGAGTAGGAAGTGCAATCAAGCAACTTCCAAAACATGCAACAAATGACAGAGACAACTGGCTACCTGGACAACCACCCAAAGTCTCATTTGCAACACTGAGGCAACCAACTTTGGCTAAGGCCTAGAATAACTGACAGACTATTTTCAAAGGCAAGAAATTTTTTAAAACTGTCAGATCCTGTCTTGGCAAGATTTGGCAGTCCTGCTTATCCATTTCCAAATACAATTTGGTATGAACGTCTCTGCATTAATTAGCAAAGAGACTGTTTATATCTAGACAGTAACTCAAAGTTTTTCCTAAGAGAACAACCCAACACAGACAGAGTAGCTCTACAAAAACACAGTACACTTTTAAACATTCATCAAAAAAAAAAATACATTTCCTCCATTTAAGCCTACTGTTCTCATCTAACCTACACAATGAAACCAACTAAGACACCCATTTTAATGTTAATGTTGTATCCTGTCCATGTAAATTTAATTAGAATCAATGGGAGACACACCAGGTAGAGGGAGTCATGAAAAATCTCTCCAGGATGAATCTAATATTCACCTGTGGTTAAGGATCACATATATATGTGTGTGTGTGTGTGTGTGTGTGTGTGTGTGTGTGTATGTGTGTATATATATATATATATATACATACATATGTATGTATGAGTGTATTTATGTATGTGATAAATATATACATATATATGTATGTGTGTATGTATGTACATATACATGTATATACAGGTATGTATATGCTTGCATGCCAGGGGCAGTAAACTTGTTCTTTAAAGGACAGTACTATAAACGCTTTGACCCTTGGTGTCATTTAGTATTGATTATAGTTTCTCTGTTTTGAGCTATGATCCCAAAGTAGTCATATACAACATGTAAACGCTACCTGTAGCTGGACTCCAATAAAGCTTCACTCATGAAGCTTTTAAACTTTTTAAAGCTTAAAGTTTACACAGCATATCCTTGTCAAAAATATTATTCTTGCATTTTTGTTCAGCCATTTAAAAATGTAGAAACCATTCTTAGACCACAGGCCTTGGGAAAACAGTGTGGTAGACCACATTTTTCTAGGCCAGTTTACCTAATGAATTAAACTCACATCTTCTTTGTCGTTTCTGAAATATGCGGTCAGAGACAAAGATGTCTTTACAGTGAATTCACCACTTGGCTCGGCTCCTCTTGTCATGTCAGTCCAGCTACACAGAAAGCATTTCATCACCTGTGGAGAGACACAACCTCAAACCACAAATTTGATTTCAAAAATTAATACCCCAAATTTAATGATAGGTACTTGTAGTAGTAAATATAGATACATGGAACTTGGAGGTGGTATGGGATGAAGGAGATTAGGAGAACAAAATTGAAGATGTTGGGGACCAGTCACATTTCTACAAGCAAAGAGAGTTGACCATCTCTCCAGGTAGGAACACATGCATGCTGGTAAAAGGGCCAGATGCCTCACTCATCCCGGTAATTCACAGTAAAGGTCCACACTCCTCCTCCAAACGCTGAACCCACACTCGTGTACTGACCTTCCATAGAAGAGGTAACTTCCAGAGACAAAGGGACAACAGCTGTGGAGGCCGGAGTGGCCAGAGACTCCCATCTTCTGGAGAGCTCGGTGGCACCCACATCAGCAGACACAGGAGAGGGGGATGGCATACCGTCTTCAGGCTCACCACTGCCTCTGGGGACCTCAACGTGCTCTTGTGTCACCAAGGGTAATGTGGGGTCTGGCTCTTGTGTGGCCATTGTCATCTCTTGTGTGATGTCTGCAAAGGAGGGAAACATGTTTAAACAAACCAACTTACTATACATTAAAGCCACTTGGATGTTATAAATTGAAAATCAGCAAATACTGATATCAAAGTACCACCTTGTTAGCCTCTGTGGAAGTGGGGCTCCCCTCAGTCCCTTCAAAGCTCTCATATGCTCCATGTGCCGGCTCTGTTCTCACCCGAGTCTCTGCACGGTCTCCTGAATCTGTGGTTCTTGCCTGACTTACATTCTCAAATTTGGTGTTATTCCACTCATCTCTTGGGACAGAAGAAACCGGAACAGCTGTGCTGACACTCACTGTGACCTTGAGGTCCCCCAGAAGACTGTCAGCTGTTGAATCAATATTCAGAACATCCTCAGGGGTTGTCTCCAAGTATGTAGTGGCAGTGGTCTGCACATTGTCATCTGATTCCTCCGAGGGCCTCTCCCCATCATGCTCTGTGTCTGCTGTGGAATCGACACCAGGAAAGGCAGTCGTCCTCTTGGCTGCATCTCTTTCAGCTTTCTCTGTTCTTGGACTGGCAGTTAGCATTTCTTTGGTATTTACATAGGATGAAGGTGTATTTCCCAAGCTAACTGCTTCTTGACTTTCAGTTGCAAACAACTGATTATCCACATACTTCGGGAAGTCACGTGTTACAACTGTGATCCCTTCTACAATGGGCTGGGTGCTAGAGCTGCTCTGGGGCCCCTCCTGATGAGGAGTAAGAGAAGTAAGTGGAGAGACAGCGATGATTGACAAGGCCTTGGACAGTCTCTGTTCAGAAGGCATTCCTTCAAGCTGACTGGGACCATGCCCTTGTTCACTGGCTGAGACTTCTGGCTCAGTGGAAGAGTGAAGATCAGGGACGTTAGGATTCAGAAGTCCAGCTCCAGGGAGGTGGTGTTCTTTGTTGACCGAGAAGACTTTATTTAAAGGTATCACAGATAGTCCCAGAGATAGTGCCATAGGAGCTTCAGAGGATGTCTGCTGGGGCATGTGCTCTGGAGCAGAGGAGATGTTTTCTCCGTCACCTGTGTCCATCTTCCGGGACTGCTCTGCCTGTGCATACGCATGTGCCATCTCCCTCTTTTCCACTTTTGGGAAAGCTAGACATTGTGTGGCTAAGGTGAGGAAGACAACGCTACAGAAAGGCACAGAGCTGGGCAACAGAGTCGGTCTACTCATAGTGGAAGAGAAATACAGGTTGCAGGAGTTGACAGTTTCAGCAATCGAATCCTGTAGAAAAGTAAAGCACAGCACACTGTCATGTGGATATATTTTGTATGTAAGCTCCTTTAACTTAAGTCA